CCATCCCATTCCCTGGGTTTTATTCCCTGCCCAGCCCCAGCTCCATCTCATTCCCTGGGTTTTATTCCCTGCCCAGCTCCATCCCCATCCCATTCCCTGGGTTTTATTCCCTGCCCAGCCCCAGCTCCATCCCATTCCCTGGGTTTTATTCCCTGCCCAGCCCCAGCTCCATCCCATTCCCGCCGGAGCAGCATTCCCACGGGAAGCCAAGCTTAGAAATCCACTTTATTCGGCTCCAGCCACGGAGCACCCGGAGCCTCCCTGGGATGTCTGGGAATGCCCAGAGCGCTCATCCCTGGGATCCAGCCCCACGGAGCACCCGGAGCCTCCCTGGGATGTCTGGGAATGCCCAGAGCGCTCATCCCTGGGATCCAGCCCCATGGAGCTCCTGGAGCCTCCCTGGGATGTCTGGGAATGCCCAGAGCGCTCATCCCTGGGATCCGGCCCCTCGGAGCGTCCGGGAGCACAATCCCGGCCGGAGCAGCGCTCCAGGACACACCTGAGCTGTCGGGAAGCGGCTCCGGAGCTTCCCTGGTGTCCCTGGGAAAAGCCCCTTGAGCCACCAGCCCTGGCTTTTCCCGGGATTTCCCGGCACGGCGGGAAGCAGAAGGGCCCCCCCCGGAGCCTTCCCAAGCATCCCTGGAAACGGCACAGCCGGGACAACAGTGGTTGTATCCCTTTGGAAGAGGAGGAGGAGGAGGAGGAGGAGGAGGATGATCCGTGGCTCCAGACAGCCCGGAGCAAACTCCCCCCCCCCAGGGACTGAATCCCTGGGAACAATCAGGAAAAAACAGGGAAAAGTGCAATCCAAGGCAGGAAAGGGAGGAGCAGGAGAAAGGGAGACGGTGCCAAGGATGCCCCTGGAGCCGGGAATGCCGGGATGGGGGGGAGCCAGAGGATCCCAGGGGTCTCCCAGAGGATCCTGGGGGTGTTCCTGGAAATCCTGGAGGTCTCCCTGAGGATCCTGAGATTGTCCCCGGGAATCCTGGGGTGTCCCTTTGGATCCTGGGAGTCTCCCTGGGGATCCCAAGGGTCTCCCTCGGCATCCTGGGGGTGTCCCTGGGAATCCTGGGGGTGTCCCTGGGAATCTTGGGGGTGTCCCTGGGAATCCTGGGGGTCCCCCTATGGATCCTGGGGGTCTCCCTGGGAATCTAGGGGGTCTGCCAAAGGATCCAGAGGGCCTCCCTTGGAATCTGGGGATCTCCCTGCAGAGCCTGGGGGTCTCCCAGAGAATCCTGGGGTTGTCCCTGCAGATCCTGGGGGTCTCCCTGTGGATCCCGGGGGGGTCCCCGCGGATCCCGGGGGTCTCCCTGGAAGTCCTGGGGGTGTCCCCTCAGTTGATGGGCTCGTACTCGGAGTAGCGGCCCCTCGGGACCAGCAGCACGAGGCCGGTGCCCCCCAGCAGCAGGGCCAGGGGGGTGCCCAGCGCCACGGCCACCACCGAGATGATCAGGGGCGAGAACGTGTCCCGGGGGGGCTCCCCAAAGCCCACCAGCACCGACCTGCGGCAGGGCAGGGGGGGAGTCAGCCCCGGAGACCCCCGAGACCCCCCTGCGCCTCTCAGACCCCCCTGAGACCCCCCGAGACCCCCCTGCACCCCTGAGACCCCCCTGAGGACCCCTCAGAGCCCCCTGAGATCCCTGAGACCCCCC